CTTCGCGTGACCGGGGTGAGTCTTGAATTTATTATACCCGCCAGTCGCAATTATAGGTGTTGCACTGCGACATCGAGCGGAAAGTTTCGCGTGGAAAACGTTGGAGAACTCTAGAAATCGGATCGTTCCCGGTTTTTCTCGCTAGAAAATATTGTCACGGAGCCAGTTTCTGATCACTCACGAGTAACTATTGCGGTTTTGTTAACGTACAAGTAGAAAAATTAACCGAATTCAGAAGAATTCTTCTCAATCGAGTGAAAGTATGTTTTATCTTTAATTTGGTATTAACAAACGTGCAAAAATAGTGATAATTAAATTATAATTTAAACCTTTGCACTCGGAATTTCTAATTTTCCATATATTTTGTCCCTTCAGAGGGGACAGTCTAGTGCAAATGGTTAACGTTTAATGCAAGCAAATCGAAGAGGAGCAATTTCTGATTACCTAAATCATATATTCGTATCTCATTCTGAGCTGTCAAATTTTACGTATAAATTTCAAAATAGTTGATAATTTAGTAACTTTTTTTGGAAAAATACTTTTGTCATAATAAACTTATATAATCAGTGGTATCTACATATCTAATAATGGTATCTATATGTATACTAGACTAATCAGGAACAGTGTTCGTAACGGTAGATCCTTTTTCTTGGTAGAATTTTTATAATATTCATTAGGCACGTGGTAGTTAACTTGTTCATCGGTAGAAGCTGGTCAGTTCGAACGTATCGGTATCTAGTTCCATTTCCGTTTGCGGCGGTAACAGCCGCGTGCACGTAAATTCCTGGGAAAGCACGCTGGGTATTGACGATCGTAATTTAAGGGACGGTTGCCCTATTGGCCGTCTCATCGTAGATAAGTAGTATTCGGCTGCGATAGTTTCGCCCGGAAACCGTATTGGTTTCGCAGCTATCGAGGATCAGGGAAACGGCGTTAAACGGATGGGCGGTTTCGAAACTACCGATTTGGGATCTTCCCTGACCCTTAATCCTCGTTTCTGTATATACACTCGACACCTTCCGTTCGCCCTTTTTCCCTGGGCTGGAGTAGTTTAATGCTCTCTCCACGCGATACAATCGTTTCGGGTCAGGTTTCCTTGACACACGCCCGAAACTCCGGTAAAATTAGGAACAGGAAAAATGTTTACCTGCTCCAGTCGTCGACCGTTAGCTCGGAAGTTTAGAGGATTTCGGGGGATTACAGTCTGAATCCCGATTATTTCTCCTCGGTTCGGATCAGCGCAGCCTCCACGCGAAATTGCATTCGGAAATTAAATGCTGAAACGTTTACGGGACCCCCCCCCCCCCGTTTCGTGTCGTAGTTTACGAGAGACTTTACTTCCCCTGACGGGCCGATGGAAATATAATTCTCGCGGTTTAACGCGCGACGATACTTCTCAAATTGCTTTATTCCCATGGTCGTTCGTTAGACAACGATTCCGACCCCCTTTACCTAATTGCCCGTCAACTTCTCTCGTTAATCACCGCCCACGCGTATCGGGAACACCTGCTCGATTCGTTTTCGAGTGTGTTATAGCGGTTCCTTCCTCTTAACGAGACACTTTCGACGTGGAAGCCTTTCAGACCTTTGTACCGCGATTAATTTGCACGGTGACAACTATTTGCGTATGGAAGTTCGCAGTCCTGGAATGACTCCCTTCTAGACTAGAAGATTGCTCGAAATTTGTTACTATAACATTCGATTCTTTAGCACTGAATGTAATTCACACTTTCTCCACAATGTGGCGAATCGATAAGAATCTATTTGTTTCATGATTTATGTCACATTTTTACTGTAACACTTCATTATTCTACGTTTAGTGTTAAAGTAGACTGCGGATGCTTATGTATTTATAGCAATCCTTAACTTGGAAAATACAACAAACGAAAGATTTTAATAAAGTTCAATATTATTTATAATTCAAGGTTCAGTCCAATTTCTAATTTCAAACATTCGTATCTGAAATCGTGAATGTGCATAAACTTCCGGAGTATAGTTATAAGGGTCCAATAACTTATGAACAGAAGTGCACTTGCATCCCAATATATTAATCGAACAGTCAGATTGTCCAAGGCTCCAGGGGCTACTATTCCAGCTCACGCGACGGAACTAATTAATCGATTACTTTAATGCTGTTTCTCTGTATGTTTGCACAGAATCATATATTTATATACATATATGGTTGCAAAGTAAACGGTACAGGAATCCCTTTAATAAATAATAACGAAACGTTGGGGTCAAGGGGCTACCAGACAATTACACGGGATCCCTTTCATTTTTACGAACGAATTGATATTCCCACGTAAAACTAATCCCGCGTAGTCTTTCGAAGCCAGCCGTAACATCCAGGCCACGGCTGATCCATAAACTTCATCTCGGGGGTCCCTCCTACCCCGTATAAACTTTTCCGCGCATCTTATCGGATATATTCTTTGTTTTTTATCGCCAGCGCCTCTTCGATCGCCGCCGTTCCCCTGCTCCGTCTATTCAGTTTCCCTCGCCGTTGTACGCCACCCCCTCTACGACGTAAATTCCATTTACTGCCTACACACCGAATAGATATTTGCGGCGATGGGACGCGCCGAATGGCGCTTGTTCCCTCGCAAAAACACGATTCCGGCGGACCGTTTAACCGACGCGATAATTATTTCCCCGGAACATCTGGCCGCTGGTTCCTCCGAGAGGACACATCGCTCTAATATTATAGAAAGGACAGTAAAAAAAAAAACTCCAAGTATCCATGCGATAATGGATGATTCGACGCAGACAAAATAAGATCGAAGACCACCGAAAAGTTCCGTAGACACTTACGTTCAGGCGACTCGTATTTCACGTAGAAACACCGAAAGCCTTTCCTCTCGGACTGTTACACTTGCAAAACGTGAGTCAACATCGAGGCGAGTCGCTTCGCCAAGAACAGATCTCTGTCTGCTCGGGAAACTGGCTTCTCGCGAAAGTTGCCCCGAAAGAGAGACGAAGGCGTCCCGAGATTGAGACAAATACACCCTATACGGTCCATCGAGTTAATGTTCCACCAACGCCACTCTTCACCGTAAACCCCTTTCCTTGCACCCCGTTTTCCTCGTGCTACCTCCTCGTTCCTCCATTTCACTTACGCTCCTCTATTTTTCCTCCCCCTCGACGGCATATATACAGGTATACATCGTTGTTATTTATCGCTGAGCGTAGTCGTCATTTTTCACCGAGCGTATTACACACCCCGTGGTCCCGGGTCTTGTCGGTACCAAGGCTGCATTGGTTGCTCCCTTTCGGAGCGTAGAACGACTTTTTGAAAAATCCGCTCGAGGGGGTGTCTCGTTTCCTCTCGCTGGAACCGAAGACCGCTGAGATTGATGAAACCGTTCCTGGAGCCACGGATCGATCCTCCAACAGGGGGATACGTTTCTCCTCTCTCCTGCGTCGTCGACCAGCCACGGAAGAAATATTGAACGGTCCCGTGGAACCCCCGTAAGCGGGATTTAATTAAAGGGACAACGGTTCGTTAGAATAACCATGGGATCCTTTCCTTTCCCGATTCGTTCCTCCTAGCCCAATTTAAAGGCCTTCGCGTACCACCTTGCTCCCCCTGTACCTACGCGCGTAATTAAATCGCGGTTATTTGCATACCTTCCCCCGAGTTTCTCCTGTAACTTCGCGTGCCAATTATTCGGTGCATCCATTCCCGAAACGCAGCTACCTATCGCCAGGAACATCGTCCTTTGTGATCTATCGCTTCGGACCAGAAACCGTTGAAATATAACGAAAGGGTTCCGAATGTGTCGGAGAGCATATTTGTATAAACCTCGATCTCTTGGTTAACTAGACCGGATACTGTTCCTCGTACCATTTCCTGAAAGGGTTTAATCGTTGTCACGGAACTTTCTACCCTCGTGACTGTGTGTTTCGGGAAATTGAACCTCGATGTGGAAGCAAGCTACCGTAAGATCGCTCTGTTACACCTGACAGCGGTTTAATCGGACCCTTGGGAGGGACCACTGAGTGTACTCCGTTCACGATAATTACTATCGACGATCCTGGGGCGGCGGTTTGTCCTCGCGTGTTCGCCAAGTGGCATTGTATTTCCTGATTGCATAGTTTTCAGGGACATCAGACCATTAATTGTCCGTTTTGGTTAGTCTATCGACTACAAACTACAGTATTCCGTCGATCACTGAGTCTACACGATTTTTGTTAGCGCGTCATTCCCACCACTGGCAGGTATTTATATACTTTGTTACCAAGGCTTCGGGCAAAAATCAAATTTACGAGGGTCTAATGAATTTTTGCTGTTCGATGCTTGTCGCAATGCGGACCCGAGTTCTTGACAATAATCAACGGAACACTGTATTCCTATATTTTTCTAAATACATAGTTTTGACAACGACATATGGTCCATAATATCGTAGTAGTTTGCTATCCACCGTCGGGACAAAATACGAACGAGCTCATTCGGGTCAGTTCCACTCGCAAGACCGTTAACACTGGACACGCTCGAGGCCAGCAACCATAACAGCCAGTTTCGTGTTTCCTGCACCTCATACGTTACGGTCGACCAATTTCCCCTTTCGTTCTGCTATCATCCAAACCCAGTATGTTTTCCACGGGCCACCTCTCTGTCAAACTGATCCAGTACCTAGCGCAAGCGAGTGTTCCGTTTGCCCAGTTATTGTTACCGTTTAGTGTATGTCATTCGCATTTATCAGGCTGTTAAGGGAACAATTACATCGGAACGTGACCGCGCGATCCGCGTCATCGGAGTTTCCATCGTTAACTAACGGGCGAACCCTGTCTAATTTTCTAAGAGACCTGATCTACAATACCAACTTAACACAGTCCCATTGACAGCCGAGCCACAGCAGAAGCTTCGAGGCGTGTTCCTCGAGGCTCCCGAACGAGGAAGCTGTCATTCGAGAATGCAATTTCCCCGGGAAGTTTTCCCCGGGGCAGATACAAATGGAACGACCATGATCTATGACTCGAGTGGCGGTTGTTGGACTCACCTTCGGAAATCTCTGCTCCAACAAGCGTATATCACCGGATTCATCCCGCTGTTGATCCAGCCTAGCCACGTGACAGCCGCGAATACGATCTCCTCCTGCCATATACACTGTGAGCAGAAGCCAGACCATAGATTCACCACGAAGAACGGTAACCAGCAAACGATGAAAACGCCCATCACGATCCCCAAAGTTTTCGCCGCCTTTTTCTCCTTGGCGAACTTGGCCAGTTTACGGGACAAGGAGAAATTCTTTCCCAGATGCTGCTTATTGATCCTGGTCGAGGGCAGCCTGGTCAGACAATTATTGTGCATCGCGGTCAACGGTTCCTCGAGATCCTGTAGATCCTCCGGTGTGCTCGACGCGGTACGGAACAGGTGTCTGGCGTCCGTGTTCGTCCCACCGCCGCGGTGCATCCTTAGCGTGAGCTCGAGCTCGCCGGAGGCCATTATAACTTGCTTCGTGCCGAGTTTCAGGCTCCTCGTTTGGATCACGGCCGCCCTGTAGATCTTGTAATACGTGAACACCATCACGAACAATGGTACGTAGAAGCTGATCGTCGAGGAGAATATCAGGTAGCCGAGATGCTCTGTAAACGGACACTTGTCCTCGGGAACCTCCTCTGTTCTTACTGCTCGCCACCAGGCGATCGCTGGGAAGGAGATCGCGCTCGAGCAGATCCACACGATCGCGATCAGAATCGCTGCTCGTCTCCTGGTCATTTTTCGTGGATAGGTGAACGGATCTGTGACCGCCCAGTAACGATCCAGACTGATCACGCAGAGGTTCAGGATCGACGCAGTGGAGAACAAGACGTCCAATGAACGCCACACGTCGCACCAATCGTGCGTGAACAGCCAACGGTTCTCCAGCACCTCGTAGATCGCGCTGAACGGCATCACGACTAAACCCACTAGACAATCGGCGAACGCCAGTGATGTGATGAAGTAATTCGTCGCTGTGTGAAGATACCTTTCGCGTACCACTGCCAGGATCACCAGCATGTTACCAAATACCGTGGCCACTGAGAAGAGGAACAGAATTATAGCCAGACCAGCCCGATCGGTAGCCAAATGCCAGAGCTCGTCGTAGCTGGTGTTCTGAGGTGGATAGCTGGCCGTGTAGAAGGTCCGATCCGAGCAGATAGACCGCGCTTTCGTTCATCTTTCGTTCCAACGTGATCCCCGCGACAACCCCTGATCCGCGTTCTCACTGCACAGCCAGCTCGCATCAGGTCGTCGATACGTCGACGCCACGTTTTCTTCTCCTGATTCCCCTGTGCCCTCTCATTTTCCTCTGTCGAACGATCGACACGTCGAATTGCACCGATATAGCTTCTTCACGACATCCGGTTGTCTCCTACGCGGAGACGTTTCCTTCGCTAGAATTTTTCAAGCTGTTCCGGTGATTTTTCTGTCGTTTTCGAAGGCTCCCACGAAAGGACCGTGCCCCGAGGCAGGCGTCGAAATTTCGAAGCGATGTCGGACGAACTTTCTGCTCGACTTGCGCGGTTTTAACGACCTGCGGGCGTCTCACGGGGAATCTGAAACAGAAGAAGAGAGGGACACGTGAAAGGGAGCTTGTATGTTGTACACAGACGGGATACAAGGTGGAGATATAAAGTTATGTGTCCCACACTATGACTATGCCTGTGTGTCTGTCACAGGGAAAACTGCAAGGTTTTATTGCGATCGCGTCGCGGACCGTGCGCGCCCTTTGCCCCCACGGGTTATACGACGCGAGACTTTAATAGAGGGAACGACCCTCGTAAAACGCGTCGATACGCGGTGATTTATCAGTTCCCATTTTTCTGTCGAGTCTGGGGACTGGCAGAACTCGCGGGACACGAGAATTCAGGGAGAATTGTTACCTTTTTACTGGTTTTAATCAATGGATCAAAATAGCCTGTGGACTACGCGAAGCAGGTATGCAAACCTTAAATTATTTATTCCAATTCTTTTCATTTGGACGCATTGAATTTGTTTAACATTTAATTCGTATCATATTTTAATTTTGTTACAATTCCGTCATTATTCTTTCTACCCTAATTGAATATCTCCAGTCATTTCCTGTGCACAATTTTTCCTTCATCCTGTCCCCCCCCCCCCCCATGTAATTGTCAATCATTTCGCAGAGCAGCGCTCGCCCGAACGCGAGGGCCGCGTCGATGCAAACGATTTAGCAATTTTCTGTTCTTTTTTTTCTTTCGTCAATTTACAATACACCGTTACCTATCCGGCTATATTTAAGCTCTCGGTTGGAAAAGTGTGATAAAGAGGCGACGACGCAGGAGGGGTTGAGTAAAAAGGTGGGCGAACAGAGAGAGAGAGAGGGCTCTCTGATTTTCGTGGCCAGACCGACGCTTGGAAAACAGGGGTGCCGGGCTTTCATCCGTGACCTGGGAGAATGTTTACCGCTACTTGATCAAAGGGGTTTCGATCCTCCTGATCGAGGCTGGGATGTAGCTTGGGTAACCCCCCATCCCCTCTTCTGGGTACACCGTTTGTGTGTGTGTGTGTGTCGCTTGGATTTTGTCCCGTTCACACCCCTTCGACGTCATCGTGGCCGTTCGGCGTCGCTCTTGCGTCATCGTAACACGTGTCAGGACCGACTGAACCTTGCACCACCTCCGAACCACCGTCAACCTGTATATCGAACGGCTCTTTTATACAAGGAAAACCTCGTTTTATTCCTGACTTCCAATAGCGTCCACCACCCCCTCCTTCCTGTCACCTCGCGTGACCGTGTCGTGAAGCTGATTTTTGTAGCTGGACCCCGATTGTGTACGCCTCTTTGAAAGTCCATGGTCGAAATTTTCATAACAACCACGTCCTGTCCGAATAGGCGAGCAGACGTTAAGCTTCTGGCGGGCTCTGCAATGGTTCCAGAAATTCTGGATACGTTGGTCCTGTCAAAAGTTCCGTTCACGGAATAATCTGCATACGTACCGTTCTGTCGAACAGGTTCTCTCATCTTTACCAGGGGGAATGGGACCATGTCTGGGGAAACTTTGGTCGTCCACGAGATCTACTGAGCTTTTCAAGGGGGGTGGTTGGTAATCTCGCGTCGCGGTTACCATTCGAATTTGGTTCGCGGTCGAACTTGCTGGCATTTCTGACGCGTGTTTGAGGTGCACAGGAACGGATTCCTGCGAGAGCATTCGCTTCGGAAGTTCCCGTACCGCACGACGCCTACTCTGATTAGGATATCAAATCGACCGAAATACCGTGCAACCTTTGGCGGGGCTTGCCCGTATACTTCGTGCTTGGGGCCCGATCAAAACTTTGGACAGCCAGGCGGCAGAACACAGTTCGTAGTCTGTTTCTGACTTTGTTTGTCTGACCGTCGCGGGCAGGCAAACCAGTAACAGAATATGATGCTTTCTCCACTTGTCAGACGGGAGTCAAACGTTAGGAGCAACGGAAGTCCGCCTTCGGTCGCTCAGCCGCTTAGGTTCTGTATTCTTCGGGGATTCACGGGAGAATTTAAATTAATGGCGGGGGAAGGGCACGAAATTCCGAACGTTGCACGGGGCCAACTAATTAAACGGCGATTAAAGTGGCCTGGTGAAACTTTGCCGTCGGCCGCTGCGAGATATTCGAGGATTTCGGATCGACGACGCCTCGACAATCGAAAACGGGAACTTTATTAGCTCGGCTTAAGTCACTTTCGAGCGATCTGTCATCGAAATATCATCCCTCTTGAACCGCTTGTATTATTTGCTGTCGAATGTATCTTCCGGAATAATCTGAGGTGAACTTTTATTTAATATGTCGTTGTCATTAACTCATTTGCATTATAAGAGGTCCTTGACAAGAAATTTAATCTCGAAAAGTATGAAAAAAACTTAATAATTCGTTGATTCGAGCAATCTAGACTAATTGTTTTGTGAATGAAAATTCACTTCGTTTTTTTAAATGGAAAGACACGTTTTTTTACGTACTTTCATAAATAGGCCATTGCGTGCATTTTAAAAACCTGTACTGGACGGTACATAAAACAATATGTACTTTCATTTAAAAACCCAAAATTGACCTCTACGAGTCCATCTATCAAAAAACTATTAACTATTTGAAGATTCAGGGATTAATAATATTATTTGTGTCTTTGCAGAAGAGGAAACACCCGTTGATCTTGTGACTACGTGTCTCTCGTATCCTTCCAGTCATCGATTGCCTAGTCAACCGAAAGCTTTACTCGGATATCAACACCCACTCGCGGATGAACAATATACAAGATCCAGGTTGGTACATATTGTTTCCGTTATTTCCACGAACGTATTACATTGCGAATATTTCTGCTAGTTCGATTGCACTATCGGATTTCGTCAAAGTACCGTCGATTTCGACGCCCACGAGACAGCCATGTCCAGATCATGTTCGTAGAAAAACGAATTCTCAATACTACTCAAGATTCGATGGTCCAAGACAGGAATAAGAAAAACACCAAGGAGAAAATCCTGGTTAACGGCCGAAATTACAGGGTAGACTGGGTCGAACGTTTCTCTGACAGACGCGATCTTTTATCGTTTTTATAGATTTAGAGGATAACCGTGATCGATCGGCCGTTGTACAGGGATCAGAAGGCGGTATCCGTCGAGAAACCATTTCTCTCTCCATTAGAAACAAAAGCCCCCGACGTCGGTCCCGATCATCCCCGTCGTTTTTTACGCCCGCTAAACGTCACCCCGATCACTCTCGAACGATCGGGCACCAGGTGGGAAATCCTCTCGGTGTCTGGTCTGGCTCTAACGAGGTTCAGTATTCTACTGTCTGTAGTTCTCGAGCTTCCAAGTACGCTTCTGTGGACGAGACAGAATCGTGTTTGTGTCGTTCAGCAAATGGTTTCGTATTAAGGACAAAACAATCTAGAGAAATGTGGATTGTAAAGGGTCTGTTCCGTTGAACGAAATGTTAATAATCATAATTGTGTGGGCAACAAAAATATTCACGGTTATTGGGAATACTCCTATTCTGACAGATTAGATAAACATAAATAATTTTACTTTCATAGTTTTCCGAAACTCTCAGTTTTCCCTTCCTATAATATACCAAGTGCTGTTTTAGACAAGAACATAAAAAATTGTGAAAGGAAATTTAGAAATGGATACCTAGGTACCTGGTTGCCTACACAAGGGTTAACACTAGAACTACCGATGACAAACGTATATCTATGTCTATTGGATCGATAAATATGACAAACTTTTGAAAATACGCAAATTCATAAATTAACTGATCTCTCCACTTTGATATTCCAATGAAAATTTTGAACGTTCCTGGCAATATGCATTGTCGTTACATTTTAATCGTTATACGAACGTACTAACGAGTCATCTTGACTGCCTTGGTGGTTCTAATGTTAAATCAGTGACGCGTTGCGAGGCCGCGAAGGTGGCTGCGTGGACAGTGTCCCAATCAGGCGTGTAACACGATCAGATAATGAACGCGCACCGTGTGATCACCGTCTATGGGGATCACGTATGTACGCGGTGCTCGTGTAATTTAACACAAGACTAACGAAAAATGACGTAGACCGGCTAGAAGGACGAACCGTGGGCGATAAGCAGACTAAGCTCATCCCTCCCCCCTGCGGAAATTCGATTGCCCCGTCGGTTTTCGACCCAGTTTTTCGATTGCCACCCTTCATCCCTTTCTAGACATTTGCCTTTTTATGGAATATTTCTTTTCTTTTTTATGGAAACAGTTTTTTAGCGGTCGAGTTTGGCGCTAATTTGACTTTTACGAGAGCACCGTTCCAACCGGAGGGATGTTGACAGAAGACAGAGGGTTGACGTTCAGTGGATTGAGGGGGGAACACGCTAGAGCCCCAGAAAAAAAGGGAACACCAGGAATCGAACAGCGAACCGCGTCACTGGTTCAACGGAATATCGTTTCGACTGTCGAAGCTTTTCGGACCGTGACGCCAATCACTCTGCGTCGTCGATAAATTCGTTCCGCTGCGATTCGTAATTACGTCTGTCTTGTAACAACGACATCGTTCACATTTTTTCTCCTATCGTTTCGACCGCCTCCCAGCACTCCCCCCGATTTTTTTCCACGACAGGAACCCATGACGTTTTATTTCTCTGTTCGCGAACCGTCCACGCATTCGCGGGCCGGAAGTTGATTAATCTTTATTAATACGGAACGTTTCGCCTTCGTCCC